AATTTGGTATGAGTAAACTAGACTTAGTGAATAAGATGCTCAAAAAAATTCATCAAAAAATTCCAGCGGAAACTGCCCCAAATCGCGACGGGCGGACAGAACCTCCTATAGAAGGACTTAATTGACCTTTTTATGAAAGTTCGAGGACATTTTGACAGTTTTCCCTTTAAAAGTTCTCTACACTTCCATATTTTTTGTAAGTTTATCCTTAATAAAATACCCAACTACCCTTACTTTATCTACTTTTTATCTTCTCTTTCATACTTTTACACACTCTCTCATATTTTTTCTATACCATTCACTACCCTTACTATTCTACCCTTGAATAGTGTGCCAAAAGCAATATAAATTTTTAGTACGTAGTACTAAAAATTGGCTCATAGACGAAAAAGAGACATCTTGTTTAAAATTCCTAAAAAGAGACTAAAAAGAGATAAGATGACCATTAAACCCTCTCTACTTGAGATTCATTACTTATAGTGACTAAGCTACACTGGCCAAAGTTTGATCACTGACCAATGCTCGTCCGTTCGGTGATCAACATCCGCCCGTCCAATGATCAACGCACGCTCATCCAGTGACCAACGTCAGCCCGTCCAGTGACAGTTACCCGACCTGTCTAGTTACAATTACCTGTGATGGAGTATATGGCCCAGGAACCCCCGGCCCAAAGACTCCTACTAATCTATCACAAGCCCAACAAGCTCAAGGAGCTCAGGAGGCCCAAGATTCGGCGGCCCAAGCGTCAAGAAGGCCACGGTACACACAGGGATGCCTTCGGCCACCTTGGCCGAAGGCTCCAGAACTCACAGAACCGCCATATTCGACCATGCGAAGCTACTGGGAGAAATTGACAGAAAACGGGAGCCCTCGGCACTATGGAGCCCTCGGCACCAGGGGAATCCCTCGGCTCAGCCAAGCCTTCGGCTACACAAGGAGCCCTCGGCTACGCAAGAAGCCTACGGCTGAACTAGCTCAATCATCGAAGATTCCTTTTAGAGACAGCCAACCACCGCATTTAATGCCACGTCGCATCCGCCAACCGCATTCAATGCGGTTGACGTACCACTGCCAGCACCACTAGGCTGATGTGACCCTTCGGCCGTTGGATTACTGACACGTGTCCCCTCATCGCATTTATTGCTGCTATAAATAGCAGCCTATTTCTCCTTGTAATGGACACAATCTACATCTCAACTCCACGCTGAGTTCATTTAATAAAATCGACTCTCTCTCCTCCTATTTTACTCTGACTTCTCTCTAGTTATTTCCGCAGTAACCCTTCGGATAAGATACCCCCCGGGTAGACTATCCATCATTTGGTGCTCTCGTTGAGAGGTCTGAACTATCAAGTAAGAAACCCTCCCCCTCTACCAAATACAAAACACTTGCCAAAAGATGGGAAGAACCACTCGTGCCCAATCCAAAACTCTGGAGGAGAATCACGTCGCCCCCGGCGAAACCAACGGGGCTGAGGCCTCCAACAGGCTCTTGGTACCCGAGGGTGGTGTCATCCTTGAGTTGGAGCAGGCTACCGCTGACCTCCGTCAGCAGCTACAGAAGAACGCCCCTGATGCCCGCATTGGCCTTGATAATCGAAGGAGGGATCGGAGTGAGAACCAAGTTCCCCCTCCGGCCCCGGCCATCGATCTTCAGGCTGCCTTTGCGGCCTTCGTCCAAAACATGGCTCTCAATTCCGGAGCCCTCGCCTCCCAGGCGCCCCTTCAGCCCCACGCTGGAGGGAATGTTATCCAACTACCACCACTCCCTCCTTTGTTCAACAGTCCTCCCCCGGGGATTGGCAACGCCGAAGGGGTCATGGCACAGGACACCGCCTCCCAAGAGGCCCAATCCAGGGATAAACGTCCCTTGATGAAGGAGAAACCCCGGACCTCTGCACTTGAGAGGCTTGGGGGAGCTCCCATACGCCGAGGGGTCCAAGACCGCCTCGGCAAGCAGGAATTCAGCAGGCCTCAGGAGAGCGGAGCCTCCGCTTCGGGAGCCGAGGGCATACCTCCGCCCCGAAGCAAAGGCAAAGCCCTCCTCCATGCCGATGACGCCAGACACCAAATCAATCAGGCGCACTCCTTCCGGGCCAACTCCCAAGGGGTTGCCCCGAAGGATCCCAAGGACGAAATTATCGAGGCCCTCCTCCGCCAACTTGAGGAAAATCGTCAGGCACCCCCGACGGCTTCCACAGCCAGGCCAGATCCGGAGTACGCTGACCTCCGGGCACAGGTGGAGGAAATGAAACGTAAACTTGCCGAAGGCTCGGGCGAGCCCCTCATTCAGCTCCGCACTAGGACGCCTTTCACCCCAAGGGTGTTGGCGGCCAAAATCCCCCACAAATATCGGGGGCAACCTATCAAACCATATGAGGGGAAGACGGATCCCCAGGAGCACTATAGTCGTTATCAAAACAGCATGATGATGATGGGGGCATCGGATGAATACTTATGCCGTTGGTTCCTTTCCACCTTGGAGGGACCAGCGTATGAGTGGTTCAACCAGTTGCCCGGAGGCACCGCTCAAAGAAACACTTCTCCCACCTCCTAAACGTGAGACAACAGAAGGAGGAAACCCTTCGGAGTTTCCTAGAGCGCTGGAGGCAAGCCTCCCTCGAGGTCGAAGGCGCTGATGACAAGACACTAATGGCCCTCTTCCACACCGTCCTCCGCAACGGTAACTTCTCCCGGAGCCTTATCACTGATCCCCCCCGCGATTATACAAAGGCCCTTCAGCGGGGGGACCGATATGCTGAAGCGGAGGAAATCGAGAAGGACCGCCGCAACACGGATCCTTCTCAAAAGAATGAAGGCAGGAATCGGCCCGGAGGGCCTCCCCCTCCGGCCAGCCGCGAGGCCCAATATAATGATCGCCCCCGAGGCGGCCAAGCCAGAACCGGGGGCGGTTACAAGAATAATCCGAAGGCATGGGCGCAACCCGTCCTCCTGGAGCACCCACGCACTCCCTTGACGCATCCCGTCAGCGTCATTCTTGATCATGCGGAAGAGCGGGGGCTCGTTGAGCGAGACTCCCGCACACCCCTCGAGATCTATGCCATCGGTCCTGATGAGCCCTACTGCCGCTTCCACCGCCACCATGGACACAAAACCGACGACTGCCATCAGCTGAAAAACGCAATTGAGAGGCTGATACAGGCAGGCCACTTATCTCAGTTTATCAGGGGCCCTCCTCCCCAGGGCCCCCTCCACCATCAAGGGCCACTACCGAAGGCCAACAAGTGGGTGAACCCCAACACCATCCCCTTGGGAAACCCACAGGGGAAGAAGCGAGAAATTGGGGGCCTCGATGATGAGGGAGAGGGCTCCCATCAACAATACAAACGCCATATTCACATGATTAACGGCGGCAACACTGGTGGAGACTCCACCAGCCAACGGAAGAAGTGGGCACAGTCCCTTTACATTGGGGAGGTCAATCACATGCCCCCAACCAAACGGCCGAGGGCGGATCCAATTTTCTTCACGGATGCAGACCTCCCCTCGGGCTCCCTGCCGCATAGGGATGCCCTCGTCATCCGCACTGAGATCAACGACGCCATCATCCACCGGACTTATGTCGACACGGGGAGTTCTGTCAACGTCATGTATCTCAGCACTTTTCAGGAGTTGGGACTCGAAAGGGGGTCCCTTCGGCACATCAACACCCCCCTCTCCGGATTTACGGGGGACAGCATAGACGCCGAGGGCGCCATCACCCTCATGGTTGAATTCGGCGACGGATCCCATAGAGCCAAGCTCGAAGTGGAATTCGTCGTCGTCAACCTCGACTGCGCGCACAACATCATCCTCGGCCGGCCCGCCCTCGAGGATTTGGAGGCCGTCATCTCCATGAGGCACCTCTGCCTCAAGTTCCCCACACCCACCGGCATCGGCTATTCGAGGGGGAACCAGAAACTCTCCAGGGCCTGCTACCTTCAGCTCACCAAGAAGGTTAGTAAAACAGAGTTACGTATAGACACCATCACCACCAAGGCCTTGGAGGAGGAAGAAAGTAGGCCGAGGGCTGAGCCTGCCGAGGAGACTGAAGACCTGATACTCAATCCGGCCAAGCCGGAGAGAGTCCTGAAGATCGGAGCCAAGCTCCCCGAAGACCTGAAGGCTGGCATCACCGAAGCCCTCCGCGCCTACTCCATTGTTTTTGCATGGGGGCCGGAGGACATGCCAGGAATTGACCGAAGGGTTATCACCCACCGCCTTGCGGTGGACCCTTCGGCCAAACCAGTACAACAACGAAGGAGGCCCCTCTCGGCCGAGAGAAGGGAGTTCGTGAAGAAGGAAGTATCCATGCTCCTCTCCATCAAACACATCAAGGAGGTGAAATACCCTTCTTGGTTGGCAAACGTAGTCCTCGCACAAAAGCCTCCTACCTTCCGCATGTGCGTGGACTATACGGATCTGAATAAAGCATGTCCCATGGACCCCTTCCCTCTGCCCAACATTGATCAACTAGTGGATGAGACCGCGGGATGCGAGATCATGTCATTCCTCGACGCATTCCGCGGATATCATCAAATCTACATGCATGAGGAAGACGCTGAAAAAACTGCCTTCATGACACCCGAAGGCATCTTCTGCTATCTTGTGATGGCCTTCGGCCTCAAAAATTCAGGCGCCACCTACACACGCATGGTGGCTAGGGTCTTTCAAGCTGTCCTAGGACGCACCATGGAGGCTTACGTTGACGATATGATCGTCAAAAGTAAGAAGGCAGGCACCCACGCCGACGACCTCCGGGAGATTTTTGCTATCATGCAAAAATTTAACCTCCGGCTAAATCCGAAGAAGTGCACCTTCGGCGTACAAGGAGGGAAGTTCTTAGGCTACATGGTCAGCCGAAGGGGTATTGAGGCCAACCCCGAAAAGATTCAGGCCATCATCGACATGGAGCCTCCACGCAACGTCAAAGAAGTCCAACGGTTGACGGGTCGCCTGGCAGCCCTCAACCGTTTCCTCTCAAAGTCAGCCGAGAGGGCTCTCCCCTTCTTCCAAATAATGAGGAAGACGGCGGGTTTTCAATGGACATCTGAATGTCAAGAGGCCTTCGATGAACTCAAGAAGTACCTTTCTTCTCCCCCAGTGCTCTCCAAACCTAAGGTGGGGGAAACTTTATACTTATATCTCGGTGTTAGCCCCGCGGCTATCAGCTCAGTGCTGATCCGGGAGGAAGACGGCATCCAACATGCCATCTTCTACGTCAGCAAAACCCTCCGGGAGGCCGAACTCAGGTATTCTCCCGTCGAGAAGACGGTGCTAGCCGTCGTTTGGACCGTCAAGAAGCTTGGCCACTACTTTCAAGCTCATCCAGTCCAAGTGCTCACTCATCAACCCCTCGGCGCCCTCATGAGGAGTCCCACTAGCTCCTCCCGGATGGTAAAATGGGCCATCTTCCTCAGCCAGTACAACATAGACATCCGTCCGAGGCCTGCCATTAAGGGCCAAGCCCTGGCAGACTTCGTGACAGAGTGCACCGCAAGATCAGCGGTGGATGAGGAGCCTTCGGCACCCCTTGATGAGTGGTGGACCCTCTACACCGACGGCTCCTCAGCCACCAAAGCATGCGGAGGAGGGGTGGTCCTCATTACACCCGAGGGCTTCCGCGCCTATTATGCCATCCGCTTCTCCTTCAAAGTCTCCAACAACGAGGCCGAGTACGAAGCCCTCCTCTGTGGCCTCCGGCTGGCAGCAAATCTGAAGGCTAAGATGATCCACGTCAAGTGTGACTCCAAACTTGTTGTGGGCCAAGTTTCCGGGGAGTACGAAGCTAAGGAAGGAAGGATGAAACAATACAAGGAAGCGGCTAAGGAGTTGCTCAAAGTGTTTGAGGCACATTCTCTCACCCAAATACCGAGGGCTCAAAACTCCGAGGCCGACATTCTATCCAAGCTCTCGGATGAATCCCCCGAGCACCTCTCAAAAATTGCAAGAATGGAGGAACTCAGCCTCTCGAGCATCCACGCGAGCCCCGTGATGAACATTAACCTAAGGCCGGAGGATTGGATCTCCGACATCATCGCCTTCATCAACACAGGACAACTGCCCCAAGATGAGGCCCGCGCAAGATTAACAAAGCTGAGGGCTCCCAGCTACACCATTGAAAACGGGAGGCTTTACAAGAGATCTTACAACGGCACCCTCCTTCGATGCCTTCATCAAGATGAAGCCGAAGTCGCCATGGAAGAGGTGCACAGTGGCACTTGCTCAGCTCACCAGGGACCCTTCTCCATGTCCCGAAGGCTCATCGTCCAAGGTTACTTCTGGCCCACGATGGCTAGAGATTGCGCTGATCTAGCCCGAAGGTGCAGCGCTTGTCAGCACTTTCAGAAGGCCCCCGGCAGACCAGCTGTCAACTACGCCCCCATCAGCACCGCTATACCCTTCTCCAGATGGGGGATTGACTTAGTAGGCCCTCTGCCGAGGGGTACCTCCAACAACAGGTATATCATTGTGGCCATTGACTACTTCACCAAATGGGTAGAGGCCGAACCCCTCGCCAGCATCACTGAAGCCCGGTGCCGCCACTTTGTTCTCAAAAATATTCTCACAAGGTTTGGCGTCCCCCAACAAATCATCTCCGACAACGGGACTCAATTCGAAGCAGCCCCCTTCTGTGCCCTCCTTGAAGCTTGGGGCATCAAGCACACATTCTCTTCCGTTGCCTACCCTCAGGGCAACGGACAAGTAGAAAATGCCAACCGCACCCTCCTCGAAGGGTTGAAGAAGAAGCTGGAAGCCGAAGGGGGAGGCTGGGTAGAAGAGCTCCACAACATCTTATGGGCCTACCGCACCACCCCTCGGCGTGCAACAGGCGAAACCCCCTTCTCCCTATGCTATGGCTTTGAGGCTAAGGCTCCCACAGAAGTAACTCTTCCCACCCGAAGGGTTGAGCAATATGAGCCCGAGGCAAACGAAGCCAACATGGCCCTCGACCTTCATCTCATCTCAGAACGCCGAGAGCAAGCTTTTCTCAGGGCCGAAAACTATAGGAGACAAGTCAAAGGATACATCGACGCCAAGGTCCGCTCCCGGGAATTCCAGGTGGGAGACTACGTCCTCCGACGAAGGGAGGCCAGTCTACCCACCGAAGGCGGCAAGATGGCACCTAAGTTTGAGGGCCCCTACATCATCTCGGCCATCATCAAACCAGGGACATACAAATTAAAACGTCCTAATGGGACGGAGATTCCTAGACATTGGAATGTGCACCACCTAGTCAAGTTTTATCAATGAGCGGCCAAGCCCTCATCCTCAACGAGTGTAAATATCAATGGCCCAAGGCCCCATCTGTTCTTGAAGAATAATCAAAAGGCCAAGCCTTTATCACCTACATATTACACAAGTGGCCCAAGGCCCCCCCTTCTCTCCTACACATGAGTGGCCAAGCCCTCATCTCTTCACCGTAAAAGGCCCGAGGCCACTCCCTCTTATGAGGAGGAACAACAGTTTAGGTACCAAGTACCAAGTGTATGGGTCACCCCCATCACTCTTTGAAGACACCAAGTGTTTTCAAAAACTTTTTCCTACAAAAAAAAAAAAAAAAAAAAAAAAAAAAAAAAAAAAACGGGGGGTACAACACCCCTCGGCTCCGGCTGGTACCAAGTGCCCCCGGCTATTTGTGTTCCACACACGAATAAAACCCTTCCCAGGAACGCTTTCCGCGCCATCCCCCAAGGGGAGGCAGGCCACGGACCATGTCCCGGGCCCAGGATTCGACTTCCACAAACGAAACGCTCCCCGCGCTATCCCCCAAGGGGAAGCAGGCAACAGACCATGTCTCGGGCTGAGGGGACGACTTTCAAAACCGAGGCGCTTTCCGTGCTATCCCCCAAGGGGAAGCAGGCAACAGACGATGTCTCGGGCCGAGGAAACGACCCTCAAACCCTTCGGGATATCGGAAGGTCATTCCCGAAGGGGGAGCCAACGGTTTATTCCGTTGCCTCCCATATAGGCCAAGCCTTTCCTAGAAACCAAGTTTCTAGATGCCTCTCCTACACGATCTAAAAAAAAAAAAAAAAAAAAAAAAAAAAAAAAAAAAAGGTGTAGGAGGGAAGGAACTCCCCGGATACTATTCTCCCCGGAGGCTCAACACTTCGGATATACATTCCCGAAGGCTCCTACAGATTCACAAGAAAATCTGGCAAACAACAAGTCATCCGACCACAAGGCCGAAGGCTTCACTGCGTAAAACTTTGGAGTACAGGAACTCCACCAAAGGCATAAGAAGAGGGCTTACATACCGAAGGATACACAAAATTCTAAGGCAAGCCGAATCTATTATCTACACGAACCGGAGGCTACTCACTAGATCTGTTGAAGACAAAGTCTCACAATTTCACTAAGTCCATAATTTCGAACCCCTCGGCAAACATATGCACCGGGGGCTCAGGCAGTTCCCACACTCGAAGGATTCGTTACAACACCAGTTGAAAGTTGGTGAGAAAATGACTAAGTCCACAAATGTGGACCCTTCGGTAGGGCTATTCTTCACCTACAGACTCATGACCGACGGCCCCCGGCCGAGAGTCACGCTACTATAATGAGGGCCTGCAATGCAACTAGTTTTTACTTAGAATATTTTCTAAGTCCACAATGATGAGCCCCGGCGAATCTACAGTGCAGCCGAAGGCTGTGGCCAGGTTCTACTTAGAAAATATTCTAAGTCCACAAAGTTTTGCCCTCTGCCAAACATACGGAAGGAAACAAAAGCATACATTCATACACGGAGGCAGCAAATTGAAACACAAGCGCAAAAAGGACGAAAGGCATTCATTCATAAGGAAAAGGAACGAAGGCAGACAAAACATGGAGGCACATTCATTCATATAAGAAGCCCGGAGGCATATTGCATTCATTAAAAAAAAAAACAGTGTTAACAAAGGATGTTTGTTTACAAATAAGGCCGAGGCCGAGGCCTACAACTATTACATCAAAATATGGCAAGTAAAATCTCAAGCCTGGCCCCCCCCCGGTGACGTCATCCTTCAGTTTCGAGGCTGCATCATCCTCAGCTTCTTCCTCATCATCCGAGGCCAGCTTGTCCATCTCTGAGTCCTCGAGCAAAGGCCTCTCCTCGCCTTCGGGCATGGGGGTTTGGAGGTCAGGAAGCAGAGGGGGAAGACCAAACGGGGTCGGGTCGAACTCTTTCGGGTCCACCCCATGGTGCCGGGCCAACTTGCGATAAATCAGGGCTTGAGTGAAGTACTGTCCGCCTTCGAAGAAACTTTTGCCTTTCAGCGCCAACCACATGGCCCCGGACCCCTTCACCCAGCCATCGGCAGAAGCCTCCACCACTGAGGCCACCCACTGCTTCTGCTCTTCGGCCTTCCAGCCATCGGCAATAAAAGCCGCCACCGCCTCCTCCCTGGCCTTAGAGATAGCTTCCGCTTTAGCCTCCTCAGCCTTCTCGGCGGCTATCCTAGCGGACTCAGCAGCGGCCCTCTCGGCTTCAGCTTTCCCCTCGGCCCGGGCTTCCTCCTTGGCTGCCTCCAGTTTCTTCTCCGCCTGCCGGAGGGCCTCCTCCAAATTCGCCAGCTGCCGAATGGCCTCAGTATTGTTGGCCACCAGCTTCCTCGTCACCTCGGCGGATTTAGCCCTCTCAAGGCGATGCTGCTCCGCCCTACGAACCAGTTCCCCGAAGGCCAGGCTCGCCTGCAAACATATAAGGAGGCACTCAATATCAGATTGTTCAAAGGAAAGAAAAGAAAAGAGGGATTAAGGGCGCAAAAAATCTAAACACTTACGGTGGCCGAAGCTTGGAGAGCCTTGAGTTCGAGGGCTTCATCCCCAAACCGGCTGAGGGTGGACCGATCTACCGAGGGAGTGGCACCCTTCAAGAACTCCCTCGGGTCGAGGGTGCCATGCATGATGGCTGTTCCCTTTTTGATTGGGAAGTGTACAGTCTCAAGGGGCCAGGCCCCCTCGACAAGATCCTCCAGGGGAGCAGAGGCTGACGGTTGGCCGGCGGGGGGATCGTCAATGATCACCAGGGGGGTATCCTTTGGCTCAGCGTCCCCCTTCGATTTCTTCCTTTCCGGAGGCTTGACGCCCTTCCCGGCGTTTTTCCGCTTAAGCTCCCCCTCCTTGGAGCCTCCGGCATCAGTACCGGCACCAGCGATTGCAGTCCCCTTCGGGGGGCCTTGGCCCTCAGGGGTCTCCTGCTTCTTCAAAAGGGCGTCCACCTGCGGTTGCGTCGGAGGCCTCTCCTCCTTCTTCTTCTTATCCTTGGCCAGTTGCCGGGACAGCTTAGAGAAAGCTTTCGGATCCATGAAATCGCCTGCAAAAGAACAAGAAGGAGTTAGAATCAAAAGCAAATCAAAGACTTACGTCTCTAAGCACTAAACAACAAGGGCCCTCGGCAACCACCTCTGATACCCGGAGAGCCCCGGTCAAGGAGAGGATATCTCTCATCCTTCTCCCCCGGCAAGCGATACCGCTGAAATTCTAATTTGAGCAGCTCGTCCGGAAGCGTGGCAGCCTTGATAGTCGTCAGCTTTTCTGAACCAGGCGGCTTCGCCTTCAGCTTTCTCCCATTGGCCTCAAGGGCAGCGTTGCCCACCTTAGGGTGTCTCTGAAAATGGTTGCGAAGAGGCCTCGGGAAGGTCACTCCCGGCATCCTGAGGTAACAGAAACGGTCCCTCCATCCCTTGTGAGACGAAGGCACCTCCGAGAAAAGCCTCCACGCCGGCACTTGTTGGAGGTTGGCGAAGCCCTCGCTATTGGCAGCACCCCCTCGACACAGGTTGAAGGATAGAAAAAATTGATCCAATGTGGGGACAACCCCTCGGCTTCGACATTGCGAGAGAAACCCTGTGATGTACGAATGACTATTCGGGGTCAGTTGGCAAGGAGCGAGACCCACGAACCGAAGGTATTCCACCAGAAAAGGGTGGAGCGGGAATCGGAGACCCAACTCCACCGAAAGGATGTGCACCGCGTAACAGCCCTCTGGAGGATGCAATAACACATCGTCAGGCCCCGGAACCACCACCTGTGCCGACGGACCGACCAACAGTTGAATTTTGAGATACTCCGCCTCCCCGGCCTTCGTTTTCAATTCGAGGGCGGCGGTGTTGAGATACGAGTGGCCCTCGGGTATTCCCACCGGCTGACCCGCGTCGATAGCAGCCTGCTTCTTCTTCGTGGCCGCCTGGGTCTTCTTCTTCTTTTTCCCGGGAGCGACACTTATCGGTTCCGGATCTAGGGGCCGGGAGCTACTGGCTTCGCCGGCGCCACGAAGGGGGAGTGCGGCGACGGTCACCCTCTGCCGCTCTTTCTCTTCCTCTTCCTCGGCGACTTGGAGCGCGAGGGCAAGCTCTTCGTCTTCCGCCACCTGCTCGAAGTCCTCCGCCTCCAGCTCAGTCCGAAGGGTGTCTTGGACTTCCTCGGCGATGGCAGCGTCATTGTTGACCGACGAGTGGTCACTTGAGGACTCAACCTCGGAATAGCTCTCCGATTGAACCGGGGCCTCCACGGAAATATCTTGGGAGTCGCTGGCCGAAGACATCTTCTCGAGAACAGGGAAAAGGGGGAATATAAGAGAACTAACTGGAGGCTCCTAAGTATTCCCTAACACTAGATTTAAGGCCAGTGAAGCGAAATACGCTAAGTGTGTGGGAAAGGAGGAAGAACTGACCTCAAAGATTGCGTTTGATCGAAGGCTGAAGTTTCTCTCTCTAGAAAAAATGGCAGAGCTCCGCTATCTCTCTAAGTTCGCACAAGAACAAATGAGCTCAGGCTCAGGGTATTTATAGGCAGTGGGCCTCGAGAACTGGGCCTCGATTTGAAAAGCCCATCATTACGGGCCGCCGCCTCAGCCAATGAATGACAGCCGCCCACCCCCAACCAACAAGGGCACGCCACGTCAACCCCTCCTCCAACGGCTATATTACAACGACTATATTCCGGCACCACTGAAGTGCCTTCGAATGATAGCCTCCGGCTATCACCCGCCACACCCTACGGACAAATGATTCCACCAAACGCCTTCGAGCCCGTAGCAGTATAAGCCTTCGGCTTGTCAATGTTATCACCCCTCGGGGGATCATCAACTCATCATAACTCCTTCAGCCCGAACTTGCCTTCGGCCTAAAGGAGTGGGAGACTGGGATACACCCCTCGGGGATCATACACAACCAAAAATTCTTCATGCAACAATTTACAATTGACGCATACGGCCTCCGGGCAAACATCACAATACATGCAGACAAGACATCTATGCTTTCCTCAGAAAACCCTCGACGTATGAGGGACTGAGGGGGAGCCCCCGGCGAACATACGAAGGTTACGAGTACCTTCCCTCAGAAAACCCTCGACATGTGGGGGACTGAGGGAAGCCTTCGGCAATCAACAGAAGACAAGTTCTCAAACAAAGGCACCCAGACAGGCGATGAAGCCCCCGGAAGAATCATCACATCTACTCCTTTTCCCTCAAGTACCTTTCGGCAAAAGGAGTGAGGGACTCCTGATGGAGTATATGGCCCAGGAACCCCCGGCCCAAAGACTCCTACTAATCTATCACAAGCCCAACAAGCTCAAGGAGCTCAGGAGGCCCAAGATTCGGCGGCCCAAGCGTCAAGAAGGCCACGGTACACACAGGGATGCCTTCGGCCACCTTGGCCGAAGGCTCCAGAACTCACAGAACCGCCATATTCGACCATGCGAAGCTACTGGGAGAAATTGACAGAAAACGGGAGCCCTCGGCACTATGGAGCCCTCGGCACCAGGGGAATCCCTCGGCTCAGCCAAGCCTTCGGCTACACAAGGAGCCCTCGGCTACGCAAGAAGCCTACGGCTGAACTAGCTCAATCATCGAAGATTCCTTTTAGAGACAGCCAACCACCGCATTTAATGCCACGTCGCATCCGCCAACCGCATTCAATGCGGTTGACGTACCACTGCCAGCACCACTAGGCTGATGTGACCCTTCGGCCGTTGGATTACTGACACGTGTCCCCTCATCGCATTTATTGCTGCTATAAATAGCAGCCTATTTCTCCTTGTAATGGACACAATCTACATCTCAACTCCACGCTGAGTTCATTTAATAAAATCGACTCTCTCTCCTCCTATTTTACTCTGACTTCTCTCTAGTTATTTCCGCAGTAACCCTTCGGATAAGATACCCCCCGGGTAGACTATCCATCAACCTGACTCATCCAGTTACAGTTACTAAACCTGTCCAGTTACTCGACCCGTCCAGTTACAGTTACCCGACCCCCCCAGTTACAGTTATCTGACTTGCCTAGTTACAATTACCCGATCCCACCAGTTATAGTTACCTGATCCGACCAGTTACAAATATCCGACCCAACCACTTACAGTTATCCAACTCACCGGTTACAGTTACCAACTTGTCGGTTAGGATTATCGAATTCAAGCAGTTACAATTATCTGACAACGTCCAATTACAACACCCAGTCCAACAACTCTCAATTACCTAGTCTCGTAATAACCACCGACGGCCAACACTGCCTGCGACCACTACCGCCGTCCACTACCTCCGGCCACCGACGATGACCACCACCTCCGACCACAGCCGACGATCACCACCTCCGACCACCGTCGACGACCATTACCTCCAGCCAACGCCGCCCATCTAGAAACCGTTGCCACCACCCTGCCCTAGCCCCTACCCTAACCCCAGACACAACCCCCTCTCAAGCTCGCCTATGATGCCCCAGCCACCTCGCATCCCCACCACCATCCCAACATTGTCCCCCACATGTTGTCGTTGCCCCCAATCACACTGTCTCCTAACCCTAGTTGTGCCGCAACCCCTAATTAACCCTACCTCCGGCGAGATACTCTAGAGCGAACAAAGACCATCCAGGTCTAAATCTTCAACATCGATACGTTGCGAGAAAGAAAGGAAAAGAAACAAAGATGAAGACGTGGCTACGAGAGGCTCAGGGATGGAGGTAGGCGACGATGTGAGATCGATTGGCCGGTTGGTTTAGCTTCGGTGATAGTGGCGCGGGATGAAGATATGGACCTACGGTGGCGGCACGAGATGAAGTTCCGACCAGTGGTGCTTCAACAGAGAGGTCGAGTGACGATTTGCTGTGGGGGGGGCAGAGATGCGGACAACCCTTTGCAACGAAGAAGGAACAATCCAGATGTTTGGGTTGGGGGCATTTTGGGTGTCCCATTTTCATTTAGTCTCTTTTTTGTCCATACGAATTTTTGGTCACATTTGTGTCAATTTTAAAGTCAATACTATTATTTTGGTCATTATTTCACAAATTAATTTATAAGGTTGGTAAGCTTAAAACAATAGTTACCAGCGAAGCTCTTACTTATTCAGTGTTATATGTCCAAATAACTTGTTTAACATTCATAAATGGATGTTACATGAAATTAGATAAAAAAAATATATATATCATATAAATAGGAGTAACTTACTGTAATTTTCAAATTTTAGTATCACAACTTCGGGTTGTGAGGCTTTAATATGACAACATAATTGTGATAATTAACAAATTTTTTTCAAACATACGGAGTAACAAACTTACTCATATTGGGGTTGTAACAAACATACGGAGTAAAAAAAAAATCATATAAATAGGAGTCTCTTAATGTCATTTTAAATTTTTAGTATCACAATTTGGGGTTGTGAGGCTTTAATATGACATCATAATTGTGATAATTAACATTTTTTTTCAAACATACGGAGTAACAAACTTACTCATATTTAGAAAATAAAAGCATAATTCTCCTACATTGAAATCAGAAATATTTTCCCACCTATTTGAGGAAATTTCTTTGTTTTTTTTCATTACAGTAAAGTAGACATTTTTAGTGGTTGAGAGCGAAATATATAGATATACTAGGGCCATGTAGCTTTACATTGTTCCTACATTTTTTTTAAATTTGTTGCTCCCTATTTGATGTGGTTCTACACAAAAGCGCATCAATTGAAGGGAATTTAAAAGTACTTGTTGTAGTTGAAGAGAAGAAACTGCAATAAATAGTCAATTTTCAAAAACTTTTTGTTGTAGCCATGTGTGAACTTTTTCAACTTTTTTATTGTGGTGTGTGTGAACTGCGGCAAATAAAACTTTTTTGGAAGTTTTTGCTGCAGGTATAAAGAAATCGCAGCAATTAGTTAATTTTTTTTTTCTTGTTTGCTGTTTTCGTTGTCGTGAACCGCAACAAATACCTCCACCCCCAATCACTTTTATCATCCCCAACCCCAATTGATTGGACCCAAGCTGCAAAAAAATACCCCAAAACCCCAGCAACCCTCCCGGCTCTACCAATCGGACGTCCAATCAACAACCGACACCAGCCATAACTCCTCCATCTCCTCCAACTCCATTGTCATCTTCTTTCACGGCTACTACTTGTTTATCCATTTACTTAAATAATTTTTATGCAGCAAAAGCTAATGTGTCCTTTAATTTGGATTTAGAGTACAAAAATTCTGTCGCATGCCCCAATGATTTTGTGGTGCATAAAAATGAACACCAAATGTTGGATAAGTTTCCACAATGTGGTAAATCTCAATACAAGAGTGATGGTGAGTTGAATAACAGCAAAAAGGATAAACCAACAAAGGTGTTGTGGTCTCTTTCAACAATTCCAAGGTTCAAGCGTCTTTTTCCCTTAAGACAATGACAAAATATTTGAAGTGGCATGGGAAGGAGCGAAAGAAAGATGGGATGCTTTGACATCATGTAGATTCTCCACAATGAAAGACTATTGATCAATCATTTCCAGAAATTCGGAAGGGAAGTGCGAAATCTAAGGCATGTCCTATGTACGGATGACATGAATCCATATGAGAGCTTTAGTAGCCAACACAATACATTCCCAGTTCTTAAGGTCACATACGAATTGCCACCTTGGTTGTGTATGAAATGCAAATTCAATATGTTGTCGATGTTCATATTTGAACCTAAGCAACCCGAGAATGATATAGGTATCTACCTTGCTCTTCAAGTTGATGACATAAAAACATTATAAGATGTGATGAAGGAGTTTCAATCTTTAATGCACATGCTAATGAGTATTTCACATTATGGACAATGCTCTTTTACACTATTAATGACTTTCCAACATATGGTAACTTGTCTGAGTATAAAGTGAAAGGAAAGAAATCATGTCCCATTTGGGATGAAGATATGAAATCCACATACTTACCACATTGAGGGAAATATGTGTACATGAAGACTTAGAGATTTATTCCAACAATTACTTCATAGGTATCACTCTTAATATAAAAAGAAAAAGTTATTTGATGGGGATGATGAGTTGAGATGTGCTCCTACGCCATTGATTAGAAGGGAAGTGTATGAGTGTACCAGTGGTATTGGACATGCTTTTGGAAGAAGCGACAAAAAAACAAGAGAAGGTTCTTCTTTGTCAAAAAATAGTCTATATTATGGAAACTTCCTTAATTATATTGGAAGAGCTCAGTAGTTAGACATTGTCTTCATTTGATGCATATTGAATAGAATGTTTGTTATGTTATTATTGGGACACTATTGAACATTTCAACAAAGACGACATATGTCATAAATGCGTGGAGAGAATGCAAGAAACGCAAATTCGTCCGGAACTGTGGGTACAAGATAAAACCACAAAAGGGAAAAAAGAGGCACACGTTTACCCTACCTTCAGCCTAATATACTCTATTAGCATCGGAAAAATGTTGATTCCATGAGTGGTTTTCTAACATTAAAGCTCACGCGGGGTACTCATCGAATATATGAAGACTTGTCTCAATTAGTGTTTTTAACTTAACCTTTACGAAGTTTCATGATTGCCATACTACGATGCAAGTTTTCTTATCCATTGCAATTCAAGCTATATAACCAAAACATGGCAGGGTTACCATTGCCACATACATTTATCACATTTTGAAACTATTAGCCACATTTAATATTACTCAAATGATCATATAAAGTGACATTTTAATATTAGTTGCATTTTCTTTATACTCACATTTACATATTTGTTATAGTTTAATATTTGTTACATTTTAAGGTGTCACAAACTAGACATAACAGTCTGTAGACATGGGTAACCTTCAACGCAGCCGAAAGGAGATTGTGAAAGGACACCCTTCTTCGCGACCCAATAGTAAAGGACATGTCGAGTCTCCTTTTTAAAGTCGAGATCTTTTTTAGACGACTTACAACCGGAGAGATGCGATGTTCAACAAGCAACTGGCTCAACTATTGGCCCAAGGACATGGCCAATCTTACAAACAACAAGACATTTTTGAGATTGGTGAAGAGCTCAGGGATGATGACGACGAGGAGCCGGTGGCAGCCAAAGAGGAAAAGGGGGAGAGGAAACCCCCGATGAGGAGGAGGAAGAAGGCGGCGGTCCATCTCAACCCGGTAAAAAATACAGATCTCTTCTTCTTGTAGATCATTTTGGTAAGGTCAAGAACCTGGTCGACAATAAGTGGTGTGCAACTTGCAAACATTGTAAGCATGTATTAAGCTTGGGGGTGTCGATGGGACACGACGACGCTCATAGGCATTTGAAGGCCCAACACCCCACAGAGGCGGCGAAACTGAAAGGCAAGGGGACGCAAACACAAATACCGAGGTTTGCAAATAATCAACCCTCTGGTAATTTTGCCTTTAATGTTGATGCGAAAAAAATTACGATGATACGGAAAGTTTAACATTCATGTCTGAATTAATATGTGAAGAAAATTTCCTTTTATTGTTTTTGAAAGTCTTGCTTTACGTGCTTATGCTCAAGGTGTTTTAAATCCTCAATTTCGAAACTATAGTCGCAAAACAATTAAAAGGAAGTTATAAGTTTTTTTTGGAAAAGGATAAATGATTTTTTTTTTCACAAAACTTTAATGGACGCATTAGTATTTGTAGTGATATATGGGAGGACACGCATTGTCATTTGTAGTGATATATGGGAGGACATGTATCATCATTTGTATTATTTGAGTATGATTGCACATTCTATTCATGATGAGTGACAAATGCATAGAAGTGTTATCACTTTTTGGATAATTTAATGACCGATACACGAGTGATAATATTTATATTCTATAAGCATCTTTTAACTCAATATAATTTGATTGATAAGGTGTTCGTTATTGTATTTGATAATGCAAGTAATAATACTGTTGTTATACATAGATTGCGTGAATTATGTGTTCCTTTTACTTTGATGAATAGATTTTTTTCATCAGCATTGTGCGTGTAACCACGATAGGAAGTGTGGCGGAGAACGTGAATGGGGGTTTTAGCCTTATTTGGGGTAAATGGGGTAATACTCAACTTAAAATGCAATGGCATGATTATTTGAAAACTAGCTACACTACTAGAAAAATGCCTTACAATGACACTTTTTTAGTGACACTTTCGGATAAAATGACATTAATGACACAAAAGTGTCACTCTTTTCAAACAAAAATACATGAGCACCATGTAGTGACACTTTCCATTTTTACGGAGTATATTTAAAGGCCCGCGTCACTATTCATATTACTTACAGGCCGGCCCGCTAGAGTTTATTATATGGAGTAATATCATACACTTCTCATTTTTTCCCTCTCCCGTTTCAGACTTCCTTCTTTGAACCCTAATATCGGCTTTCCTTGGCCCTGCCGCTTGACTCAATACCCTGTACATTCGGTTGACTCCCAAGCTCAGCGAATCGAATGCCCAACCGATCTTGTCTGCACCTTTCTTCTTTCGCCCACAATCATCCAATTTGTTGAACATAATAGCGCGCAGAAGCAGATCATCTCCTCCACCGGGCAACAATCTTCTCCATCCGATCAATTACCATGGGCTTCATATCAATCGGCTTCTTGATATCAATTTGCAATCAATCTTGGTAGAATCAGAGTAGTGAAGAAGAGCAGATTCGCACTGCTTAAGAGCAAGCTTCGCCTGGCCTATGTTGCCTTCCTGGAGCATGGAAGCTCCTCCAGGAACCTGGATGCTAACTTCACCCAATCAATTTCTATCTTCTCCCTTCTGCGTCTTGGTAGAATCAGAGTAGCGAGGAAGAGCAAAGTCGTATTGCTCTGGAGGCAATTTTTCTCCATCATCTTCATCATGTTAGCTCATCAACATCTCGTCTTCTTCGCTCGTACGAATCAATCCGAGTAGAAAAGCAGAGAAGTAACTCTCCATTTGGGGTTTCAAGTTCAGGTTTTGATTCCAGTTTTACTTTTCTTTGAATTTTTTAATTTGAGTTCTTGATTCATATTTAGCTATTGATTTAAAGTATATAAGAACACGAAGTATGAGTTATGATATAACATTCGTATAATAGAAATTTATCATGTAAAGATAGAACATGTTTAAAGTGTAATTAGCTATATAAGAGCTCACAAGTTATTATACATTTACAATATTTGATTCATTTATGATATTGAAATTAATTTTAATCAAGGCACCTGATGCCACTGGATATATTCAAATCATGCTCCATGAAGGGTTCCAAGTTCTTATTATGGGAAGGAAAATGCAGAGCTAAAAAAATAAACTTGAGCTCAACTGGGCAATGCTCAATTCTGTAATTTACAATAT